TATGGTTGGCCTTTAAAAAGGCTGTTTGAGAAGGTTTTGCCAGTGCTGTCCGAGTGGTTGACAATGAATGATAAGTAACATTACCATCATAGAGGACGTGCGACACAAGGCTTGCAGGACAATGTACAGCAACGGGGCTGCCATGTACTGTCCAGCAGTCTTTGTGTATCAAATCCTCTAAGCTAATATTGTTACAATCCTTCCCCGGTCACTCTATCGAGCAGGTCCGGCACCGCAAAAATCGGGTTGTTGGCGGGCAGTCGATGGCTTGTTGGCTGCAGGAAGAGAAAAGAGGGTTTGGGATGTCACTCAAAAGGAAATGTGTTCCTTTATAATGCCCGAGTCCCACTAGAGCGACAGGCAGAGACAAAAGACAGCGACAAGCCTCAAACCAGAGTCTTTCGCGATTTCAGAGGCTTTGTATAATAAAGGAGGTTATGCTCAAACACGAGCATCATGCATGCGAGGGTATCTTCGGCAAGTTCAGGTACTTCCACTTTGTCTTTCAGATGTCGTCTGGAGAGAAATATGGTGATTCTAGTGGTGGGACAAGCCTGACAGACATGATATACTCATGCAGAATCGTGGAAAAAAAGCGACAAAATGCCATCGGCAATTCTAATGCATCGTGGGCAACAAACAGCACACACAAAACGCATGTCCAAAGCACTTGCACAACAAATTTAGTCCCCCACTTAAAACTGACTCGCCAAGCTCTCAAGCAAACGACTATAGTATGTTCACTGCTAGGCTGACAGGGCGGTAGAAGCTACATGCTCATAGGAACAACCAACAATAGGTCGCCATGCATATAGCGTGGTCATACTCTCCGGGTAGTCAAGGGGCATAGAGTGGATCAGGCACTGGGGGACAGGCGACTGACTGATCTAAAGACAGAGAGTACATAGCTTTCACTGCCGAACAACTTAGCAGTGAATCAAGTACAGACATTTATACCGATCTCACTAACATGTGCTATGTGTACGATGCTATGTATACTTTGTGCCCCCCCCCTCCCAATTGAAACAAATCTATAAAACAAGAATCGTAAAAATTTGTTTTGTGCGGTATGGTACTGTAATTTGTCATTTCGTTTCGAGAAGTATTTTTAAAATGCTTGGCTCAATCGAAAGTTTAAAATAAATACGATCGATTGTCTGAAGGACACAAATGGAGTTCAGCCTTTTCCATACAACCGAGAATGAACTTTTTCGTACGGTGAACAAAAAAAGGAATAAAGGCGACGCAGTGATCATCTTCCTTCCTTCTCATTTTTGGTTGAAACAACCGTCAAAACAATGCAAAGATGTGAAAAAAGAACAAAAAAGACATTTGGGCATTTACAAATATTACCGTCTCTCGATTTTTGAATGATTTTTTTTTCTCGCAATATTGTTACAAAAACAGCCCAGCACCATCACATATCAAGTAAACCATACGCGCAACAAAAAGTGCGAAAACACGATATCAGAGGATGCAAAATCGCACTTACAGCGCACGATGTCGAACAGACGGGCGATCTCCTCCGAGACGTTCTCCCGTTTCGGGTTGCCTTTGTCGTCACGCCGAAGCTTCCCGTAGAGCCAAGGGTAGTTCTGGACGAGCTCGAGCAACTAAAAGCACTTGCTTTGGTCATCAAAGACGGCAGCAGCTTCTTCTTGCCTCTGCGCGTCCGCAGCAGCCATCGTTTCGGTCACCTTCCTCGCGTCGGAAACGGGGGGAAGTCTTCAGAGATGCAGCAATACGGGCCACACCGCCATACTCCCAGGCAGCTGCGAAGATAATCTGCTTCGGCTGCGGCGGCTGCGCTGGCTGCGCCAGGACGGCGAAGATACAAAAAGATACGCGGAGCATGCCCTCCACCGATTGGCCGGGAGACAGGAGCGCCCTACTACGTCACCACGCGTTTTTGTGCGCGTTGAGAAAGAAGTTGAAATCAACCAACTTTTTTGGGAGTGTCTACATCCACGCGCGGGGATGTAGCCACGTCGGGAGGAGATAAGGCTCCATCCACGCACTACGTCACTTCCGGCGCCCTACGTCACTTCTTGCCTGAACAGAGGCAGTTCTCCTTCCGTCTTCTCTCCGTCCACGCAGCAATTGACCTGCGGTCTTGCCTCCCATTGTTTTGCCATGTGCTCGGTGGCCATTGTTCCTTGCGTTCCTTCCATGCGCGGACTGCTGTTCCTGCATGGTCTTCTGCAACCGGGTTTAACTTTCTCTAAAGCGTTTTTTTTTTTTATTTTTTTATTGTTTTTTTGTTAAGGAGTTGGGCCCTTTACTGTATCCGCACGGTCGCGCTTCTGATATGCCTCCAGTTTTGGTTGCCGGGGATTCTATGGTGAAATACTTGTCCCAATATTTGGCATAAAAAAACCGGGTGGCTGCCGAAATGCGGGTGTTTAGTGGCATTAGGATCGAGGCTTTGTTTTTCAAGGTGTCTGACGTCCTGCTCGATGTCGGCACAAACAACACCAGCGTTTGTGCCAGCGCGCACGTTGACAAGTACCGTCGGCTGGCCGCTCAGATCTTGGAACGCAAGCCGACGACGCAGATCGCCTTTTCTTCCGAGGCGGCAGAACAGGTTCTCTACGTTGGAGTGTCAGCGTAGGCGGAGTGCAGTGATCCAGGCGTTGAATGATCGGCACAGAGAAGTGAACTGGCTCCTGCAGGAGTTCTGCCGCAAGAAGGGCTTCGCGTTCATCGCTCATCTCGTGAACGATTGGCATCTGTGCACCGGCTACTGTTTTATTTGTCATGAAATAAACTGTGTAACCTTTTACCCAGTTCTCTTGATTGAATGCTCTCGGTAGGTTTGTTATTACTGGGACTAATGCATGCTTCTCATCCTCTCACAATCTTTGTGAGATTACGAGCGTGCGCGCAAGTCAAGAACATACGAAGCGGTGGGCTCGCAATTGTCCCCTTCGATGCACATAAGCTCACGCTACAACGCCACACGGCGAAGCCCCGCCGCCTCGCCCCAGAAGCGATGCACACATGGCGAAGGCTCCGGAGGCCGCACCACGTGGCTGCAGGCTGCACGCCCACACGCACGGATGACACGCACGCTGCCCACACGTGTGTGTGACTCCTGGACAACATAAATATAAAGATATCTATGGATACTATTTTTATGACGCATGATATCTCCTATTAGTGTTAGAAAACAGTGAAACATTGATAAATTGTCTAAGAATTTGTAAAGTCACGTGATATATTAACTTTAAAACAACAATAAAATGTAACCTCTTTATTTTTATATCCTATATTTACTTACAAGAACGCACAATATGTACATAAAAACAAATTATGTTCTTATTTTATATGTCACGTGAGCTTTTGCGTGGATGGAGCCTTATCTCCTCCCGGCTTGGCTACGTCCCCGCGCGTGGATGTAGCCTCGGCCAACTTTTTTATGCGCGCCCGGAAGGAGCGAAGAACCGGCGCGACGTCACGAAATACGTCACATCCGGGGCGCGCACGACCTACAGCCGCAAAAGGAAGCGTTGGTTTGGATCGCGCTTTAGCAGCCCATTAATGTGAGCTCATTCCGAGCATCACCACTGAACAACGAGGCGATGGAAAAGACGATGTTGCTAATATTGTAGCAGACAATGGTGCTCATCTGGGCTACCTAGGGGGCGCTGGGGGAATCTAATAGTGATGATGTTTAGTGGAGGAAACGCGCAGACCTTAGTCTTCTTGGTAATATTGGTCCACAAGGCGCGATCGTGCGATTTCGGCCTCGACGTCTGCAAGACGCGACCATGAAGGCAGCGTTGTAGCGTTCCATTTCGGTGCCTGGAGTGCGTCTCCGACTGGTGTCTTTATTGCGTCCAACAAAGTGCTGCCTCGGTTTCCGCCTGGTGACGTCATAGGAGTGCCATGCTGTCGCCGGTCGCGATCCTAGCGGTGGATGTGGCAGACACCTGTTCCGCTGCAGTTCGCTCTCCAGTGGGACAGTCCAGGGAAGTCACCGCAGCCAGAAATTGGGACGCCGTGACGGCAGTGACACTCGCGTTCGCTCGTGCTTTTCGCCGGCATTTCTACGATCAACCGCCAGAATCGCGGCATCCGACAGCACGACTCTCCGGCTAGTGTAATTTGTTGCCATCTGGGGACCACTTCTGATGTGTGGGCGGGATAAGACGCTAAACACACCAGTCGAAGACGTGCTCCAGGCACCATAGTTGGATCATGCACGAGCCACGTTCGAATGCTAGCATCTATCAACCTCTGTTCTTGCGCGTAAAAAATAAAATACAATAAAAAAAAATTCACAGCTCCTTACTTTAGCGTCCTATCGAAACGCCAAGAAGGGCCTTCCTTTCAGTTGTTTTGTTTATTTTTTCATTCATAGTGGAAGCTTGGGCGTGTTAGTAAGGCACGATCAAACAAAGTTGCTTCCTTTGTTTGATCGTGTATAGGCTGCGCCTTGACGATTAAAACTTCAGTTGTAAGCTCGCCGGTTTTGGGTCTTCTTTCTTCCGTCCCGCCTGTTTCGCTGTACGTTTTAAATTTTCATTCATAGCGCCTTGCAGCAAAGTGAGAAAGCCCAAAACGCGTAATCGAATCGCAACGTAAAAAAAAGATTATATATATATATATATTCGATTTAGCTCGCAAGGGGCGCTAGTCAAAACTTGAGAGCTACAGGCCTATAGTTAATAAAAGTGTGGTTTAAATCGTATTGCTGTCCATGATCAAATATTGGAATACTCACCAAACGGGTGTTTGCATCACCGATTTTGTACCGACGTGAAGAAGAGAGAGGTTAGAGATAGGTATGGAGAGCAGAGCAGACGTGGACATGTGGAAGCCCTTCATTGTAAGTAAGTAGAAAAAGCTCACCTGATTTGGAGATTTCATGCTCATTACTGTGGACACATAGACGCGTATCCGAGGCTTGGGCGTCTACAGATTCAGCGTTCCTAATTTTCGAACCGTCTAGCTTACCACGTGAGCCAAAGCAAGTCGCCAAAGCAAGTCGCCAAACCTAAAAGTTCAACTCCCTTTATTGTTCTCCTGGCATAAGTTTTCTGAGTTCTGCTGGCGACACCCCATTCTGCAAGAGAACACAAAGACAGCGAATCAGTAAGTTGAATTTGAAAGATTTCTGAAGGTACCCAAAATGTTCCTTTTTATGTCGTTCAGAGACGGACTAACCGGATGTCTAATTGCAATTTTATTTTGTAGGGCTAGATTGATATTAACAGCAATAAGAATTAAACTGCACTGGAAAGAATAATGGAACCTCGGAAGTGTGAATATTATTGGTACATATTCATATTCATCGGATAAAAATGCGGCTGCTTTTTTATCTTGGAAAAATATTCTAGACTACACCATAACGGCTCTCAGCGATGGGCTTTGGGGTGTATTATAGCGGTAATATGACCAGTAATATGTTTCATCACGTTGATTAACGCAGCGCACCACGCAACTTAATTACGTCTGTTGTCATTCTCACTGCTTTTAAGAAGAATTAAAGTAGTTGCAAACACCTCCCTTCGCAATTGTGATTCTTTTTTTATTTGTCAATATTAGACTAAACTCACAAAGTCGCCAGAAGTTAATAAACACGATCATCGAGTTAAAATTGATGAATGATCGTGAGATTTTTTTTTATAGAATGGTCGGAATAAATATCTTTATACATCAGGGCCGGCTTCCTAAAAACAGCGTCTCAGCTGAGAGTGGGTGAATTAAAGCCCTTTCAACGCCAGCGCACGAGCTGAGTGGGACTCGAACCACGTCTACAGTTGACCCATAGCCTGCTCTATTAGCGGCGAGATGTTTCGGTGGCGCCCTCGTTTGGTTACCTTTCGTGACGTCATTACCTTGTGTTCAACAAGTTCGATGGTGTTTCTGATGGGCATGGTGGAAGCCTGAAATAATAGCGCTCTCAAAGCATTGCTGCCAACACCGTCAAAATTGAAGGTCTTCCATTTCTCTTATTTCTCTTGATGAGACATCCTTTGCTGACGTCATAGGCAGCATTCGGCCAATCGTGGTGGGCCGACCACAGTGACGCTTTCGATCCCTCACGTCGCCAATACTCAGAGTATAGTATAGAGTCAGTATTGAGGAGGCTATGGTTGACTCTACCGCATTTCAAGACGCTCGCGCGCTCTAGCCTTTGCAGTATTTTCCTCCATTCTACGCTGACACGCTGCTCTAACAAGCCGGCCCTAATCTGTCCGCTCCCACGGCTGTAAGTTTATTTTTAGATTATATATATATTTTAATATTTGGCTCGTCAATATAAACTCTCACGAACATAAGAGAGTGCCAGCGAAGCACATAACCGTGATTAAAATAATAAAAACGAGCCATTGTCTCCACGGTGGATACAAAGAAACCTCAGTATCCATTGGGGTGAATGGCTAACATTTATGTAGCCTTGGCTTGTGTGGATTTCGGAAGTCAGAGCGCAATACTCACAGAACGAAGCCACACACATTGTTTTCTATTGGTGCTTTTGATGAATTTTGGATATCATTCGTGCTTGAAGTAAAATCACAACAACTAAGACATCATTAAGATTTAATAATAACCCGACCAACCCTTTGGGGGTTTGCAATACACGCGTAACTTTTTTTTTTCGTATTTTTTTTTTCTTGGAAGTTTGGTTTAGCGTATGAATTTTCTCACAGCAAAGTGAGTCGGGCATAAGATGCCTTCGCTATACACTGACAGATTGGCTGTGCCGAGTGCTTATCTAGAGTTTTCAAAGATGTTCATAACACAATATTACTTTTCAATGTTAAGCACGCTGCACATGCTGACACTATGATCGGTGACAGGTTAAGAACTCAAGGGTAGCTCCTCCCGCCTCTTTGCACTTTTGCAGAGCGAACGCTGGAGTTTCGCTCTGCAAAACTCTAGCTTTGCAAAGCAAAACTATAATTTTGCTATGTAAAACTATAGTTCGTGACGAACCTATCACGGGCTACAATCTGGCTCAAATATGTTCGCAAGAAACGCCATTGAACAACATCCTGCTTTGTCGCGGTGTAACTGGAGAAACTGCTTCTTTCGGTCTCCTTCGGAAAGCGTGAGGACATTAGGAGAATTACGATGTTGACATAGTCCAATGCTATTGATAGGTTGGATACGAGCACTGTGGGACCAATCCACCGGGGTTCTGTCTGAAAACCAATGCCTTGGCAAAGATTTGGATTGGCGCTTGTGTCCCGCCACTCCTCTGGGGGGAATACCCAAACCCTCAAGATGTCCGGAGTAGGGTGCCTCAGTGTCCTTCTGTTTAGGGTGATGGCACCTTCTGTAGAACCCGATGCCGACAGAACGCGCTCATGGGGAAGATAAAAAAGAAATCGACGAAAACAAAATGTCGCCATAGCACAGTCAGCGCCACAAAAGCGTGCAGGGACACGCTGTTTCACGCGCTTTTGAACAAAAGAGAAAAGAAAAATAAACGTGTGGAACAAAATGGCCAGATGCCACCACCCTAAGCAAAGTGCACATGAAGGCACCCTAGTCCGGAGCGGGTGCTGGCAGTGTACAGCACGTGCCATCTGCATTTCCCTCCTCAACGCCTGGACACGATTAATGTGAGTGGGATATAACCGACAGTATGCACATGACGTGGTCGCTTTTTCTGGACTCGGGTAGCGAGGGTGAAAACTGCTCGATTTTCACTTCTGTCAGTGACTAGTAGTGCAAGAAGAAAAACACTAGGAAGGGGTTCATGAGCTATGAACGTCAAAACTTCATTCGGTGTAATGTCGAAAGGACATTTTGAGTTAACCCATTCAGTGGGTGTTAAACCAATGGCCTACAAACGATTAGGAATCTGTCGCAAATTCGAGGGTCGGTAAACAAATTACAGGAAGATTCATTGGTTGATTCTTAGAGAATACGTTAGCATGACCCTTGGAAACTCCACACACACGTCTCCCTTTGAGAAACGCTAACGCTAACCCCTTCACTTTTCTCGTTTGGCTTGTTCTTTTGCTTCCTCTATTAAGGGCGAAGCTCCTTAGGGTCTAGCCTTGTCCGTCTGTCCGTCCGTCCGGCCGTCCGGCCGGCGTCTGTGCTCACATAAAAATAAAACATGTCTGCGCAGTCGAAAGGATTCGAACCTGTGCGGGGAGACCCCAATGAATTTCTAGTCCATCGCTGTAACCACTCGGCCACGACTGCGGGACGAGTATGGGGCTCTGAGATCTGTTAGTAACTCAAGAGCTGGGGTTTCTGTCATGGATGAAACGTTCCATGTAGCAGCTCGACGTCTATAGAGGAGAGGGCGCTGCGGTCAAATTCGTATATAATCGCGTTAAACTTTGCATGCATTGGCTCAACGTTTATAGACGAGAGGGCGCTGCGGCCAAATGCTCAAATGCGTATATAACCACGTTCCATACCACACATTCTCTTTCTGACATGGACCGTTGCCTTAAGCGGTGGAGATGCGTTCCCACGGTTTCTAGCGGATCCAGTCTGATCCGCTAGAAGAACCACTGGCTCTGCATTTCACCGACCATAAAGCAGTAATAATGAAGTCGAAACGCAACCCGGAAATCAGCACTACCTATAAGCAATAAAAAAATCAGCACCATCAGCACTACCTATGAACAATAAAATCAGTATCATCAGCACCACCAGAGCATCGCCCCAATCAACATCATTCACCACGTGCGGATGCGGTCTTTTTTTTTGTGCTGCCTTTTTTGGCTCCGTTACGGGGTCCGTGTCGGTGTTTCTCAAAGAGGGACGTGAGTGTCGTTTCCAGGTGTTATGCTAAGGAGTTCCATAAGAATACACCAATAGATCTTTCTGTAATTTGTTTCGCCCCCTTTTCTGTACTCTACCTGTCAGAATACGTCGACGCCCTTGGATACGGTCATACATGTCACTCGTGGAAAGAACCACATTCATACCACTTGTGGCAGAAACCGCTTCCTTATCACTCGTGGAAGGAACAGCATCCACCGCTTTAACTACAAACACGCATCGCAGCCCACCCACCGCTACTAAGAAAACCCAGAGCGAAGAACAACCGGCGACGGCAGAGCGGCAACCGAGCACTCCGGCATCTCACCGCGCCGCGGCAGAGCGTCTCCTAGGTACTAAAGCCATAGTGCTAAATGAGATGGCGTCATCAGAGAAGGCCAACGATGGGCACGGATATGACACGACGATTGCGCCAACGTTCGGCTCAAACTTGACTTGAAATCGAGCGCTGATGCAGCATTCCTTTCCAATCTTTGTCCAGCGTTGGCCTTCTCTGATAACGCTATCTTATTCAGCGCTATGATTTGTTATCTTGGAGGTGTTGCGCGGCGCCTCATATCCTCTGGCTCCACGCCAGCTGTACGCGTGACTTTGACGAAAACGAAAGGGCTCGTTTTGGCGAAAGCCAGGCGGTGTCTGTCAGTTTGTCAGCGCCGCAGAAAGAAGGGGATGTTGACGCGTGCTGACGTCAAAGCTTCAGATCAATGGGTGTGTCGCAGGCATCATTCTCTTTCCCTCGCTCTCTCTCCGGCACTGGCACACGAACTAAACCACCGGGTTTTCGTCAAAACGAGCGTCCTAATGCTAACGCAATAAATGACCAATAAAGAAACAGGAACAGCAAACTAAATAAACCTAGATAAGCATTTAAACACGTAACTGAACGTTATAGGAAGTATTAAAAATGAAAGGCGTTTTCAAATCTCTGAAATGCAAAATTAGACTGCAGCTCTTGAGGAGGATGAGGGGAAGGTATGCCCCACTTTCTCCTCCGTACCCTTTCCTCCTCCTCTCCTTCTCTTCCTCCTCCAATTCAGTTTCCCCGCTAAATTGAGCGGGGAAAATGATGTCATATGACTTGGTGTCACGTCACCTATGAAAAAATTCTGTTTCTCCGTTAGACTTAGCGGGAAACTTGAGGTCACGTGACCTTAACACCAATTCTATTCCCTGCTAGATCCTTTTTCGTGCAAAAATAAGGGGGAAAAAGAAGAAAAATACGTGTCCTAATTTTACTCTTAAATTTTTTTTTAGCTTTAGTGTTTTTTTAAGTGAGGAAAGTTGACCGAATTTCCCTGCGAAGCGAAAGCCTTATGCACAAATTATTGCTAAAGGATGTGCCCGATTGCGAGCGGCGCTCGCTGGGGTGCTAAACTCGTCGAACACAAAGTTTGGGCCGAAGTTCACGGAACGCACCAATTGGACGATCCCGACGATGACTTGGCGTGTTTTTCGGCGGCGTCCAATCGGCGCGCTCCGCTAACTTTGGGCTCCAACTTTGTGTTCGACGAGTTTAGGGCCCCTGGGGTCCATGTTTCCCTGCCGTCCTCACTCTGCCGGTCACCTTCACCTAAAACTCCCCTTCGCAGGGCAATGCGGTTAACTCTCCTCCGCGGTTAAAGTTAACCGGCCGACGAGCCAACGGGGCCCCTGGAGTAACTCGTTCCCTAACTTTCGCGAGGGTTGGTTTTCCTTACCGTCTGGCTGCTGCCCTTGAGGATGATGATGGTTTCTCGCTGGACGTAGTTGCTCATGAATTTACGTACAAAGGGACAGATGAACTTGGGGTCCACCTCCTCCTTATCATTGCGCTCTGCATCGAAAGACAGAAAGACGGTAAGTCCGTCCACAGCCAACGATTCAATAACGCAAACCCCCCCCCCCCCCCCCTTTCCCGAAAAAAAAAGTGTATTGTTACGGCGCACGTCGTCTGTGTGCGCTTGACATTACGGGCAAGACCAAACACGCGCAACAAAGGAGCGCAGGATCGTGCCGCATTCGCCGTGCCCGACTGGTGTAGTAGCCGCTGATGGCAAACGCAAACAGACCACGACCGCCGCGACGACACGTTTTGGGCGCTGCTTGGTTAGCTCCCTTAGATGAGAGCACTGAATTTGGTCGGACCTAAATGCTGGAGATTGCGACATTAGCTGATCCCCGAAGAAAAAACCTGCGCTCGAGTTATCGATGACTATGGTTACTCGATGAGTTATGCACGTAAAGAAAGAAAAACACCTTATTGCAAGCATCTTAAGCAAGCACCTTATTGCTGGAGATTGTGCCATTAGCCCCCGAAGAAGGAATTTGCGCTTGAGCTATCGATGACTATAGTTACTCGTTAAATTATTTAAAAACAACGCGAATTAATTTAAGTAGGAAAGTGTTATGCTTTGAGGAAATAAGATGTTGGCTGCTATTTATCTTTGAAATCCCCGCGGATGCCTGACGCGTCTCAATTTTAGGTCTGATTCTAGTTGCTTATAGGAGACCATTTATTTTTCGCTTCTTCATTTTATTGCTTAATAGGATTATGATGACTGGGACCCGTATATTGTACTTTACATACAAGAACACGAAAAAAAAAGACGGCTCTAAGATTTATTTTATTAATAACGATTGGGGACTAAGTATGAAAGAGTGTGAACGTTACCTAAAATGGTAGTACAAAAATAATAATATTAATAAAGAAATCGGCACCTACCTTTATTTTTAATTTTCTATAATGCATGCAATGCAGTATTTAAGAACAATTGTTTCGATTGTGAGGAGGACATTAAACAGCGGTTACGGCAGAGAAGAACCTATACGGAGCGCAAGTTCGTCTGCTCCTTTTGCAAGCACTTGTGGTGACGTCAGAACGCCTAACTCTGATTGAAGAATAGTGGGTAGACATGAAGGCAACTTGCTTTGAGGTCCGCCTACTATCCCTTAATCAGAGCCAAGCAGAGCTAGGCGTTCTGACGTCACCACAAGTGCTTGCAAAAGGAGCAGACGAACCACCGCTCCACATAATATTTTTATAAATTTTTGTAGAAACGGAGTGTCTCGAGTGACGAGGGAAGGGAAAGGGAGTCAACTGGCGAGGGAGAGGGCACTCTAGAACTGTGAGGTATTACGAGGGAAGGAAGGAGCGAGGAACGGGGAAACTTAATTTTTTGTGTCACCTGACCAAGGAGAGGGGACGGGGAGGAAGGAAAGGAAGGAGCGCACCAAAACAGAATGGGGAGGTACGGGGAGAGAGAGTGCGGGGGAAGGGATCGGGATGGGAGTTGGAGGGAGAGGAAGGGGGAAGTGACGTATTTAGCGGGGAAACTAAATTGTTGGATAGGTCACGTGACGTCCACCTTTCCTGCTACGTTTAGCCGGGAAACGGAATTTGTCTTGAGGTGCTGCGGTGTCATTTCACTCGTTAAATCTAGCGGGGACACTGAATTGGCCTAAAGATCACGTGACATCAATTTTTCCACTTGGCGTATATGTCAAGTCAGTTTCCTTCTTAAATTTCGCGGAAAATGCACGAACGGACGGACGAAAGTTTGGGATTGGAGGTTCTGTTAAAAAATAATTTCATGCTTTAAAAACTCTTCCGTCTTAAATTACCTAGTGAAATTTTTTAGGCGAACACGGGTGCAGGCAGGAATAGATAGACAAGTGCCCTGTTCTACATTTCGGATGTAAGTTAATGACTAGGCTTTAGAAATTAGATATTCCTTTTAGCGGCGACATGCTGCGACACTCTTTCTTTGTAGACTGTGCATGTTTGAAACTCTAATTACAGACGGCAAAGTAGGCATTATAATAAAACTAAAAATAAAGGTTCGAAAGTGCGCCTACCGAATATTAGGCTGACGGCCAACCCCACGATGACCGACGTGAGGAAGCCAATGACGCCGATCCAGATGAACGAGATGTGGTAGAAGCTGAGGATGCCGCTGTCGACCCCCCAAAAAAAGAGCATTAAAGTGAAAGCGGTAAACTCAGAATGACATCCCAGCATAAGAGAACGGATCCCACACTTGCTTTTGAGCCTTGTGATCGCTTGCGATGAGAGAACATATGCTGGAGCCATCTATCGAATAGACCTGCAACACTTTCGATTTGCGTGCATTTTTTGGCCTGAAAAAACTTTTGGAAATGCTATCGGCGGCTATTTATTTTACATAGTAAATTCATTATCTCGAAACTACTGGAAAACCTACAGTGCAAAATGCTGTAAAACCTTTAGCGGTAAGTACTGCGCAACCTTCAGCGGAAGGTACTGCGCAGCCTTCAGAAAAAACATACAGTCCAAAATGGTACAAAAGTTTCAACACACTGGCACGACTGTGTGTCAGCGTGTTCTCTCGTCGTAACCTACCACAAGGGAGCACAAAGCACGTGGTCGCACTCAAACGCAAGTGTGTAAACCAGCCCCGAGAGCTGATATTCGCTACATGTATTACGGAGATAAGACTCTAAAGTGCATTTGCAAGGTGGTGGAATTTTCGTGACATTGCTTTTGTATCCCGACTTTTTAGGGTAGCGTGAACGAATGCAAGGTGACCAGCACCATGGTATTTTCAGTGTTTCTGGAATTTATAAATAAATACTGTTCACCATTTCTTGACGACGGTTAAAAGAATGGAAGGAAAAGAAACAAACCTTTTCACAATTCTGAAAGCATAATTAGCCCGACCAATCAAGTATACAAGTTGTAACATTGGACATGATACACTTTCTGAAGATGTTGAAAAAAAAAAAAAAAACGCATGGCAAATTGCTAGGCAATTCTGTTGGATACGCGTTTAGCGGGAGCTGCACCTCGGGGCTGCACCGATATGCAATCGGTGTTACGTGCTCGCTTGTTGAAGTCTTTGACACGAGAAAAAGCTCGAAGCTGGATGACGTGCCAAATGTAGAGTTTAATATAATTTAGGACGACCTCATGTATGAGCTCTATATGATCATCTGCTAGTCGTACGCGTCGGCGGCCGCTCCCGCTCAAAGCAACAAATGCCAAGTGTTGATCCTTCCATGCAAAAGCCGGCCGGCGAATTCATGCCGAGCTGCTTCGACGTCCACGGCATTGTGATCTTTTTTCTGGCGACGCTTGTGTGACATTCGGGAGAACATAAATGCTCATTTGAAGTCGTTTTCCCCATCGAGTGTTTTTTGAACCAATCACAGTGCAGCTAATTCTTGACTTCAATCGCTGCTTTCATAACAGCGATCGTAATAATACCAATCAGCGGGAAGCGGAAAAAAATGTTGAGCAGAGCGCGCGAGACCATGATAGACTCAGTTTCTCCGGAATCTTCTCAGCTGCACGATCACGTTCGGAGCCTGAATCTAGGACGATGCAAGGGGCTATGGTGACGGTGCGCACCTTTCCTCGGCGCGGCAGCCATGAACCTAACTCGCAGTCAATAGGCGACCCGTTTCGCTCCAACCCTGCAATCAACGAATTGTTCATAATACCTCACGGAGCTAAAATGTTTTGCTTGTCTTTGTAACCTTAATTTGATTATAACTCCCAATATAAATGGCATTTCCAGAAAAAAAAAAAAAAAAAAAAACATTTCCTCCGTGTTTTAACGTTCGATGAGCTCCGTCTCAACGCAAGTTTCAAACCAGACCAAAAACCATTAGAGGGCCGTTTTAAGGAAAACAACGGTGGAAAAGGAGGCGAGTAAAAGTAGCAAACGCTAAGTGTATACATGAGCTCGAAAGCAGCTTGTCCGCCCAGCCGCAGCCTTCGCCTCAATCTTAAAGCTTTACGAAAGGCAGAAGAACGCACAAGCTGTACGACATGGCGTAGAGAGATTACCTCGGTGTTTCCGGCCCATCCAGAGATCCCGTTGTGAGCGTCTGGTTGAAGTTTGGGCACTCTGCGGTCGAAGTGGGGAGCTCGTCGCCGTCCCTCGGATACACAATGGAGCCCAGGGCGAGCCACCATGACAGGGCCAGACCGACCAGTTCACCGGTCAGCGCCCCCTGGACATTAAACCGATTAATTACGCGGGGTCATGGTGGGCTAAAAAGGGGGAGCGTCGAGGGTCGCTTTGCTTTGTTCCAAAGGAGCAGAGTTTCCTCCTATTCAGCCAATGCACAGAGCAAGTCGTCTGCTTCTTTTGCGGGGGTTAGGGTGACGTCAGAACGATGCCGAGCTCTGATTGGCTCTTACTGAAGGATAGGGGGTAGACCTCAAAGCAAGCTGCCTTGAGGTCTACCCACTATCCTTCAGTAAGAGTCAACCAGAGCTCGGCATCGTTCTGACGTCGCCACAGCCCCTGCAAAAAAAAGCAGTCAAACTTGCTCTCCGCATAGATCTCTATGGCGTTTAAGTTGATGCGCAATGTGTGGACCTCGCGCTTTTGTTTCCGCTCTAAATGCGACGCCTTTCTTTTGTTTTCAGCCTTGGATCTCAATTAGTAACAATTCGCTTGGCTGGCTCATCATCACGCGTTCTTTGCGAGCTCTTTATGTGGCCCGTTGATTGGCGTACCCCTCCTTGCGTTCTGACGCGTGAAAGGCGCGTTTTGAAACACTTGCTCGCCGCAGAAATATGCTGCGCTTCAGAATAAGGAGCTTTCAGTCGTCTTGATGCTCAAAAGTGCGTTTACTAGCTGTTATCTGAAGCGTTATTTGAAATCGCAGAAAACGCTACCTTATTCGCCGGGAGCTGTGATACAATTCGCGGCAGAGAAAAGAGAATATAGGGTGACCCAAGTCACCAGGCTCGATCTAAAATGAACCGTAAAAATCGAAGCCTGCACGTAGCACTCTAAACCTTTCGTCAAAGGTGTTTTTCACGGGTTGGTTTTTCCTTGTAAATTTACAAAGCGTAGCTCTCCTTCTGTAAGGAATAGGACTTAGAAACTTGTCAGAGTCTACGGCGGGTGGCGACGTAGACGACCAAGTTGAGTAGCGCAGTGTGTTTGGCGTTCGTATCGATTGATGGCGCCGGGAGCATCATCCGAAGGTGTAGTCGACCAGTAAAAGAAAGCAGACGACACGTAGACACAATCCGCTGGCAGTAAAAGCGCCGTCGTTATGCAGACGCGTTTTTTTTTTTTTAATTTCTGTTTTGTTTTTATTGTTCACACTTATTTTTTAGCCAAAGGTACACTTGAAAAATATTACGTTCATTTTAATAAACCACGGTCGTCGCAAGCCGTCGCGAGAAGGAGGCAGCGCCATCTATCAATACGAACGCCAAACACACCCCGCTACTGAACCCCTGTCGTCTGCGTCGCCGCCCGCCGGTGACTCTGGCGAGTTTCTTGGTCCTATTTTTTTTACAGAAAGAGAGCTACGCTTCGTTAATTTTACAAGAAAGAACCGACCTGTGAAATACATCTTTGGCGAAAAGTTGAGATTGCTACGTGCAGGCGTCGATTTTTACGGTCCATATTAGATCGAGCTGGTGACTTGGGCCACCCTATATACCCACCGAGCTTTTTGCTGGCACCGTAGCTAAAACTATGGGTGTCGCATTTTCAAATATTAAGTACTGCCATCCCGCCCGCTCGGCACTGAGCTTCAAAATGGCGGCGCCCACAAAACAATTTAGGAATATATAGTGGTTATACCCTAAGCGTAGCTTAATTAGCGACTCCAATTTTATTTTTTCATTTCATTTCATTTATTATACCTTAAGAGCCCCTGGGGGTCATTACATAAGGAGGTAACATAAAACAATTTAACACTTCAAGGGTTGAAATCAAATGTAGAGACAAATAGGTTGAAAGAACATCTGTTATTTTACAGTGCAATATCTTCATTATACAATCATCTGCTTAGTAAGTTCTGCTAAGAACAAGGCATGATTAGTATTTGTTACGATGGACTCAGGTAGCGCATTCCAATTCCGTGTATAAAAAAAAAAGGGGGAGAGTTGTTTAAAACTTTGGTTCTGGCAAAGGGTATTTCTATCTTCTGGCAATGATCACGGCGTAGGAGACATGACTGGCCGAAGAAAAGAATTCATGGTCAGTCCAGGGCTCGTAAAACAGGTTATGAAAAAAGGGTAATCGATGTACGGTGCGTCTAGTATTAAGGAGAGATAATGATAAAGAAGCCTTAAGGGCAGAGATGCTCGTGGGTGAGTAATCAGCAAGAATGAATCTAGTTGTGCGGTTTTGGATTGATTCTAAAATGTCGGATAGGTAAGCCTGATGTGGGTTCCAAATGGTAGAAGCGTATTCCATCTTCAGCTTACAAAGCGTAGTGTCGCCGGCACGTTTGTCTCACCTCCTCCTCCTAGTCCACATAGGCGTCGTCTTTTGTACCGGTTGCCGGGGAACTTAAACATAGTACAAGTGAAAGCAAAATTACCGTAAAAGTATGCTTCGACAGGAACGCTACTATTGAACCTATCAACGACCTCGGGATCGGGGACCCAGGTGCAGTAGACAAAAATATTGTTCCCGCGAATAAGGCTGCTGAAGGTCTTAGGGGTCACAAGGTGTTTCTAGTAACAAATTCTGCAGAGTGTTTCCTAGTTGAAATTAATCATATTGCCAGCAACAATTATTTAGCATGTGATATTTAAAAAAAAATATTTCCCCTCCGGCGTCGCCGTGTAATGAAGCAAAGCCACACAAAAACGTGTTACCTAATCCGCCGTTCACGCTGTAGCACGCATAATATAAAACTGTTTAGTCAATGGCCGATTGGCTTTTTCAAGTAAATGCTGTTGCCTGGAGGCTGGAACCCAGATTATCATATAATTTGTATGTAAGCACGTTGCAATATTGCATGGCTGCATTGCATGGCTGCCTTCAGTATGTTAACAATCAGGAACCAATGACTGAGTGCGAAACTCCGTCATGACATACATGATGGGGTGGAATCTATGGCAGGGGTTTCAGTACCTCAATCTAGGATTATATAGTCAAATAGGATCTTCGAATTTTGCCAAATTGTCATCCGCAGATAAAGGCACGAAAACTGCTAAAATATCCACATTTGTTTGTTACCTGGTGTTTGGAATATACGCATACAATCAAATAAAATGCGATCGCGGAAAAGTCACCTTTTTCTTGCAGAAGGGAAAGAAGATGCCCATGAGAAAGATGCCCAGAAGAGGGCCGGACATGGCGCCCACCAGGCTACTGGAAGCCTGCACCAAATATGAAGAGTGTCGGAAGGCTCTAAACTTTTACGAAAATTAATACTACACTGGAGATTGTTCTTTAGCATAAGTTCGGAAATCGAAGAGCAACAACTAGACAAAGGTACGAGGAAGTTGATGCCCAAAAAAATTAAAAACAACATCAATAACAACACATTCGAGCATTAGCAATGCACAGTGTCTAGAACAAAGGAAATGTGGAAATCACACTTGGTATCATACCCGGCACCAGTGCGTGAGCGACACGGAATTCACGAAATCTTGTTTTATATATTATTCATGCGCGAAAAGTTAATCGTAAAAAACGGGGCTTTGGTTCTGCGGCGCATAACGGCAGACTGGGTCGAAATGCGAAAGCACTGCTTGTTTTCTAGATGAAGGCAATATTTCCTCGATCAAATGGTGATTAACTCTATAGCCGGTAATTCAGCATCAAACTTCCGATCATTTTGATTCAATAAAGGTGCGTGTTTTTTTTTTTTTTCACTCCTTTTGGTTTACTTCTCTGTTCCACTAAAAACGTCGCTCTCTTTCCTTCGGCTCCTCTTTAGCACCTCGAGCACGGCCATACTCAGCAAGTCGATGCTCCTGTTCAGCTATTCTCTCTTTAGTCAGCTCCTTTCACTCGCGGGGCAATGAGAAAACTGCGGCCCATTCAATGACAGCCTAGTCGCGCTATCTCCATCGCACGCGTGCGATGAGGAGAACGGCATGTTTACCTCGCTCTCCTGCGCGTGCGCACGCGTTCCGTTATGACGACCGAAAACTTTAATGAATACTATTAAGGTTTCTTATGAATCTGCTGCCGCATTTAAGAAGTTCCTCAGAAATGTAGAAATCCCCCCCCCCCCCCCCATGAGCGAGGAATAACGTGCTCTTTGTGGACATTCATCATTTTTCATAACAGTTCTGATCCTTTAGGGTGTGCTATTTTTGTTTTAATCAGTTTCTTTTTACAAACAAAAGAAGCTAACATCGTCGTGCTTGGGTAAGTAAAAGACAAAACAAAAAGAAAAATGGGCCCGAAGCCCGTGATAATTACCTGAACTATGGACTCCATGGTCCCAGTCAGAAATGCAATCGATATGGAGAGAAGACCGTAGCCCGCCGCTGCAGTGAAAGGAAACACGTACATTCGTAATGAACGTTCTCCCGATAAGGTTTCGTCGCCGGGAATATACCAATAGCGGTACACAAATCTCACCAGCCAGTCTCGCTACGTCATCGCTGGCGAAATGTATTGTGGGAACTGTATCGTATTTCTCCACGCGCGATAACCCCGCTGCGAGTAGGCGCAAGCGGTGCACAAGGGTGAGCTACAGTTGTGGTGTCGTGTATACGTGGAACGCTAAGAGAGATCGGTCTATTAACTTTTTGAACTAGATCGTTATCATCAGCGTCTCCTCCGTACGTCTACTTATGCCCGAGTCCCACTAGAGCGACAAACAGAAACGAACGACAACGACAAGTCATAAACCAGTCTTTCGCGATTTGACAGCCTTTGTAAAATAAAGGAGGCTAGTGCTCAAGCACGAACACCATGCACGCGAGGGTATCTTTGGCAGGCTTGCAGTCGCTCGTGCCATAGCCTCCTCTATACTCACAAAGCGTGGCAGTTCGACGACGAAGCCATAGGGCGTCCGGTCGCAGATTGGAAGCGCGAAGTTCTGGTACCAGAGATCATTTCTCGGAAAGCCCGGACGTCAACGCACAGCTTCTGCAGCGGCGAGGACTGCAAATATGGTTTTCAAACCCGACGAGAAAAGAAGTGGTAGGGGAGCACGAGTGGACATTGCATCGCTGGGGAGAAGTGTGTTTCGAAGTCTCGCCGCACCGGGGCGCCCGTTACATGCGTCTCCTCTCATCCGTTGTCTGCCGCACTACCTTTTGACTTTCGGCGGCCGCGTCTCGTGGCGACCGGCCAGGCTTTGTCAGTATAGGGGAGGCTATAGGCCAACACCACCTAGACAGAAGGCCTCCACACGCGTCATCATAGTCAGATCGATCGAGGCGAGAGATTGGGCACGAGTGCTGCGTCAGTGTTCGGCTGCGGCTCGTGGCCAATCAGCGCGTCGAAGGTCGGGCTCGGGTCCAATAGCCGACCGAGCGCGATCCGACTGTGATGACGTTTCATAGAAGAGGAAACCATGCGGAGGCCTTCTGTCTAGGTGGTGTTGGCTAGGCTCGTGCTTTGTTCCCGAGTACCGAACGACTAGATGCCTGCTAAAGGTATCATTGCGATCACAACGCATCTGTTTGAGCCTTGTCGCTGTCGTTTGTTTCTGTTTGTTGCTTTAGTGGGACTCGGGCATTAGGTAAAAATTCCTCTATTCACCTCGAGTCAAGTTCGGTGCAGGCGCTCATCTGTTCACCGGACATAACGGCAGTCGAAAATAATTTTCTCGGGATCGCATTCTTCGTGGTGGCGGACGTCAAAAAATGCGCGAGACCTACTAATTGGTTACATAATTAATGAAAGCTGACTGATGAGAATTTTAATTCCTAAAAGTATGCATATTGTTCCAATTGGAAACTTGCTGAGTGCCTTCGAAAACCATTCAATCAGGAATTTTCAGAAAGACTTTGAGCGCGTGAGAAGCGTAGTAGTGCGTTATAGTTACGATTCATAGGCCAGGTACAAGGCTAGCGGTTGCGATAAGGCGCCCGCGAGAATTTTCGTCTCAGCCCCAGCCTTGTACCTGCCCATATATATTCCGGGTGTTCCATTTTAATTAGAAAATATTTATTTTAAAAACAAATCCGTAAAAGATGCACTAATGCAGTTTGGGCAGTTGGGTTATACGGCCAGGGGGATATCATATAAGTGGCTAATTTTTTAGATAAGTCATAATTAACTAAAATTTCTTTATTAACTTCTTAATTGGTAAAATAATCATATGGTTTCAATTAGGAACATGCTGAGCATAAACGAAAACCACTAAATCAACTCTTTCTAGGACGACTTGAAGCTCGTGGGATACTCGGGGGCGCACCAAAGTTGCCACGCGTGCAGCAGGCGCAAAGCTAGCAGTGGTGGAACAAGATGATGATCTAATCATCCTTGTTTTGCCACTGCTAGCTTTGCGCCTGCTGACTATAGGTTACCTATATATACACCTCATCAATGGTAGGGTCGCTGAGGTCAGATTTATATTTATTGCGTACATAAAATAATTAGCAGCGGCCCCCTTATGACGAAATGGAAAGAATCGGAATGCGGCCAGTCGATGTAGCCTTACCGACGGCCTTGGTGAGCAGTACAGCCCGTTTATCGGAGAGATTCACCCGTGGCCGAATGAAGTCGTCCCACGTGACAGCCGCCAGGGCGTTGTACCCCGACGATAATGTGCTAGAACAAATAGACGCGGTACACCGCGTTAGAAGCATGCGTCCTTACGTGCACCCTACGCGTGCCCGAATCTGTTATTCCTGGCATACAGGGTGTTTCGTGTTTAATTGGAGTATAATGATAAGGCAAAAAGGCGGGAGATACACGGGCGCCGACCGCACCTTGCAGGTATCAGACTCGGCGGACATTATAGCCACCCACAAGGTGAGAATGCCAGGGAAGGGCTTCAGCTGTCCCGACCCCAGCGTGAGCTTCCTGCCTCCGAGAACGCTTCGGCTTCGAGAACCACTCTGAGATTCGACGAAGTTCGTTAGAAAAGCGAAAAACAAAAATGAAACGGAGAGGGAAATTTTTAAATCCTTTCTTTTTCAAGAACCCCGGAGAAAAGTGTGTGAGTAGGTCGTCTATTTTTTTGGCTGGATAACGAATCGTCTTCTCTGGATGACATCATATAAGACTGCCGATACGTTATCGGTTTGAGGCCTGGTATCGGTGTGGTGAAGAAAAATCTGGATGAAAGAATTTTTTTTCCTTAATAAATTTAGTTTTAAGTGGCGCCTGTCCTTGTCGTGCGTGTTTCTTGTTTCGTCCGTGTTTCAGTTCGCGCTTTCAAACCTTTAAAATGATATGAACCAACTAGACCCAACCACAGTTGTATTGCTTCATATACTAGGTCATATACGACTTTGTAGAAGTTTCAGCTCGTGAGGCTATATTCCGTCCCACTTTAAGTCCGAGGCCGCAGCCGGCGCTGCGATCCGATAGCTTCAATTAAGCAGCGCCACACCCTGCGTGATTGGTTCAGTTGGTTATGGTCAACGCAGAAAAAGAATGGGCGCTGTGACGATGCACTTTTGCGCCGATTAATTGGCTTTAATTTATTGGCACCGATTGATTGGTATCCATTGATTAGCACCGAGTGATTGGCTCCGAGTGATTGGCTCTGAGTGATTGGCTCCGTCCGATAGTAACGTCGGCTCCGCTCGGACTTAAAGTGAAACGGAGTACGGCTTTTTTTTTTTTTTTACTTCACGCATTCGGCCGGTTGCCGAAGACGTCGGTGGGAATGTTACTTGCACAATTCTAGTGTTCCGTGTTTTCCAGATAGATAAAAAAAAAAAACTGAAAAACACTTGCCAGTAAACGTTTTGACAATCCATTTTTTATCAAACACTGGCAAATTTAAAATTTACGATGTAAAAAGAAAAAGAAAACAGAAAAGTTTGGACCGTACCATTTATAATTTTTGCGACTCAGAGGGAGGAGGAGAGATTGTGCCTTTAAGAGAGTAAAAGCTATGAACACGTACATTTTATAAAGTGCGCGTGTGTGCTCGGGGAGGGCGGGGTGGGGGGAGGGGGGGGGGGGAGGCAGCCGAACATTTTATTTTACTCTTGTGACGGTCCAAAGAGCCAAGCAGATGGCGACAAACGGCTGCCGGAGTTGAAGCCTCTTGGTGTGTTCGTTTTACAAGAAGTGTGAAATGTGCCAATGCCGGAGGCGGATAGTGCGGCCCTTGGAAGAAAGTGGCGGCGCAGCACGAAAATAAGTGGCCCTAGGCCACATTAGCCTGGGGAACTAATCCACATGGTGGGACCAAGGGACAGGAACACTGCCGCCCGCTGCGATTGGGGAACGGTGCGGAGCTGGCCGATCGCAGCAGGTGGTTATGTCCTGGTTCTTTGGTTCCGCCGTGTAGATCGGGGCCCCAGGGGTTACAGTTAACATAGTAAGACGCCGTTCATTCCGTGCTGCTCTCCCTCCACCACTCCACCCCGCGGCTACGCCCAGTACTATAGTTATACGAAAGTGTGGATGTAACACTTGCTAGCAAGTTTTGTAGTGGGGCAGCTAGTGTTGCCATTGGAAAGGGTACAAGCGCCGATTCTACCATATGGAACAGCATTCGCTTCAGCAGAGTTCTTACGAAGTTATGGTAAGTTCTTGTGCGTTTGGATATTATTTTTATTTTGAGTTTTTAAGAATTGGGAGCACGTCAGAGTTAATCACCTAATTTAGGAGAATTGGGATTCATGCAAAAGTAAACTTCGATAAGCCCAAATTTGTGGCAAAATTTAACTGCAAAAAACATTCTCCAAACTTTAGAAAAAAAAAAAAAAAAAAAAGATAGACTCCGAAAAGTCAACACACAATTCTCGTTTATTCTAATTTCTCACCCAGTTGTGCTACTACACAACGACAAAAAGTAGGCACTAAAGTTTGTATTACTTCGAGACCCTGCAGATTGACGAATTATGTAGTGAATTATCCTCGTACTTTAGGGGCTGAGTTGTCATTTTTTATGAAGAATTTTGACTTATTTGATGGCCACGTTGTCACCAGCACATTTGCAGATTTGTATACAGGATCTTTATTTTCTTAGAATATTTATGTGCCTTACCACAACGGTTTCTTTTGTTCGCGATAAAAAAAAAAAAAAAGCTTAAGTTGTAGGAAATGGACGACACAGGTTCAGTTCTTTCCAACCGATTAAACAATGTTCTCGCTCGAAAGACGACGCACACTCACCTGAGGGAACCGCTGAAGACGGATGACACAAGGAGCCCGCTTAATCCAGGATAGTTACTGAGCAGGTCTTGTACAATATACGGCATGAGCTGAGGATGAATTGAAAACAAAAGTCGCTTGGCTTATGCATTCCGTGAAATGCAATTAAGGCCCGAAAGTACTAATACGCAGTTCCTCCCCAATATACAGTCGCCGTCCCTATGCAGAGAAAGCGGAAGGCGGGGGGGGGGGGGGGGTCATTGCATCGCTTACACGCCCCACAACTGAGGTAATCTAATAACGTTAGACACAAAGCATGGCGAACTCTGGGACGCGATCGTCCAGATAAAGTCCACTTGGGAAGCGCCCGAGTAGTCTCAGCCATAACCTCTCTCAGCCGACAGTGACTCCCCCGTCCAGGAAACGCAACCGAGGAAAAAAAAAAAAATAAAAATAAAAAATAAAGGAAGATTCATTAGTGGATTTTTAAGGAATGCGCTAGCATGACATTTGGGAAAAGCCACGCACGTCCAGTCCCCCTTTGGGAAGCGCTGACCCCTTTACTTTTCTGTTTGTCCTTCTCGTTTTGGCTTTTTCTTTTGCTCCCTCTATTTTTGCTGCCTCTTTTTGGCCTCGTTACGGGCTCAGTGTTAGCATTTCTCAAAAGAGGACGTGTGTGGCACTTTCCAAGGATCATACTAACGGATTCCCTAAAAGCCTTTCAATGGATCTCTCCTCAATTTTTTTTCCATCCCTTTTTTGTGCTCTGACTGTAAGAGAACGTCGACGCCCTTGGGTACGGTCATCCATATCTCTGGTGGAAAGAACCACATCCATACCCCTCATGGAAGGAAGCGCATCCATATCACTCGTGGAGGAAACAGCATTCATCGTTTTAACTACACACACACACACATCACTGCCCCAGCACCGCTACAACGGAAGCCTAGAGCGAAGAACCTAAGGCGACGGCAGAACGGCAACTGAGTGAGTGAGTGAGTGAGGTAGACTTTATTGGGTCCAAGACTGTTAGATCCCCGCGTCAACGGAGTCTCTCTGCACGCCGGGCCGCATTCCACCGTGCCGCCTCGCCCGCTTCGCGCCAGCTGTGCGACGTTCCTTTGACGAAAATGAAAACGCTTGTTTTGAGGAAAACCCGGATATGTCCGTCAGTTTGTCAGCCGCGGAGAGAGAAGGAGAGGGTGACGTGTGTTGACGTCAGCTCTTCGGATTAATGGGAGCGTCGCAAGCGTCACCCTCTCCCCTCCTCCTCCTCCTCCTCCTCCTCCTCCTCCTCCTCCTCCTCCTCCCCCCCCCCCCCCCCCCCCAGCGCTGACAAACTGACAACCTAAGGAAGAACCTAAGGCGGGTTTTCAGCAAAACAAACATTCTAATGTTATCGCATTAAAAAGGAAAGTGCCTCGTTCGGGCGCGTGATTGTTCCCTTTAGAGTGTCTGGTCTGACCTTGACGGACGCTGGCTTGAAAGCGCGGCAGAGATCTCTCCGCTTCAACGTCTTATAAAACTGTTACTTCCGCCGTTGAGGCACGAAACTAGGGTCAATGACGAAGCAGTGTCCAAGCAATACGCGTAGCACAAGTACCATGTTCTACATGACGTGGCGCACCCAAAGAACGACATGGGAGAAGGAGCCAGGTACAGGCTGCCATCAGCCGAATATCGAAGAGTCATCTGGTGACGCCGCGTGCAACCAAAGCGTGGAGAGGACTTTGTGTGACCGCTGCTACGCGCTGGGTGTATACACCGTATACATATAGTATATATCTTATACCGTGGCCCGGACGCAGTCGACGAGACGAGCTGATGGGACCGATCAGAGTGCGTCAAAAGCGCACCATCTTGGTGTTCATGTTTCCGTACACGTTTTTTCATCGCTGAACCGATCCCAAACAGAAAATACCTCGTGACTTGCGTTTGAGGCGCGTAGCGTCGGTTGCGTCGGGACTTATGCTGAAACGAAGCATAAGTTACGTTCAAGACAGCGCTGTAACAGCGCTGTTCCTATTCACCAACACAGTGTTTCCAAAACGAGCCCGGTTTGCCCACACCAGCTGTGGACATTGCGCGTGCGCAGAAACCAAACTCGGGTGGAGGGAAGCGTCTGCGCATGCGCGAGTACCGACAGCAGTGCCACCGCAGTGGCATGACGTCAGTGAGTTCAGTTGGTTTATACACCGTTCCACATTAAGTCCGACCCCATCCAACGCTACGCTCCGATGGTGCCAATCAAGCAGCGCTAAAAGTGCATGATCATGGCGCTCGTCGTCTTTGCACGTTTTCTATCACTTAAGGGGCAACTCCGGCCAAAACTCAAAATGAAATAAATTACTGGTATCGCTGTAGTGACACAAAATACGACCCCAGCCAAAATATTACGTTCGGGGGACGCCGCATTCTCAACTAATGCCGATAATAAAAATGCGACCCGCCGCGAGCCGCTGCTCCTTAGCGGGCGGCCAGCGCGTTGCCAATCGCTGAAGCAACATTGGGCCGTGACGTCAGTATGGTTCTCTTTTTTTCCTCCGGTCCGGGCGTTGCACAGAGTGCGTTTTTTTGAGGCGCTACCACCACTACTTCGGCTTGTGATTGGCGTGTTTAGCCGTTGCTTTTATCTGTAGCCCGTGTAGCTTCGGTATAGCCTTTTGTTTATTTGCCTTGTGAGGACTCCAAGACTCGTTTTAGCGAGCAACTCGGTGCGCCCAACACTGCCCAGCTGTTCCTCGAAAGATGCCGAGTACAACTTGTAGCGCTGTGGGCTGCTCACACAACCCGCTGCGCAACCCGGAGGTGCTTTTTCACAAGTTTCCAACAGACCGGAAATTGGAGAAGGTGCGGGTGAACGCTGTTCGACGAATGGACTTTGACTTTTACGCGCCCGAGGAAAAAAGAACGAAAAAACAGACGTGTACAGCCCAGCACAGGTCTGTTTGGGCGCCGCGGCCCACGCCGGAGAGCTTCAAAGCTTCGTGTCTGGGACTGACCCGCAGCGGGAAAGCAAGAGGGCCCCCAGTACTGTACGTCACTGGCAGCGTGGCGTAGAGCAACGCCGCTCCATCCACGGAGCCCCGATGACAATATAGGCCTAGCGACGAGTACGGAAGACCGTACGCACGGCGACAGCCGTCGAGTATGGCACCGAACGAGTTCACTCGTTTTCTAGTCGCTAGCTTCTGGGTATACAAGCGACGAGTACGGCATAGCACACGCACGGCGGCGGCCGCCGAGTGCAGCACCGAACGAGTTAACGGGTTTTCCAGTCGTTAGCTTTTGGGTATACGCACTAACTCTTGCTACATACGCTGGATATCTACCACGTATACAGAATTAAAATAAAAGCAGCTTACCTCCTATCTTTTTACGGCTAGCGCAACAGAGTTAGCTGCTGCTCGGCCTGCGAACTCGCTGAACGAGAACAAACCTGACGTCACGTTCGCATAGCGGCTGATTTCCAGTGTTGCCGGGGCCTCGAGCGGCTAGTTTCGGTTTTGTTGGCCGCGCCCCAAACAAAACTTTCAGGCGTCGATATCTTTAAAACTACGCACAATAACGAGAAAAAAATTACACCTTGCAATTCAGGGACGCTGACTCCACTAAAAACTGTCATAATCCCAAAATCGAAAGTATGGACCGGAGTTGCCCTTTAATACACCAGTCACACACAGCGAATGTGGCGTGATCCTGCCCTTTTTAAGGGGAAAGTTTCATACGTCCTATTACGCAAAAAGGCGTCGGCGTTGTGCCCGAAAGATGACCACAAAAATACATGATCAAGCACGTATTACTGAGGCGCATCCGCTTTGTCCTTGAGCAGCACGCTCAAGGTCAAAACGGACGCGCCTCGTAAATAAAACCCAATGGAAAGGGCAGCAACGCAGATCCTTCATCACGGAAGACCTGAAGCCGGCGGGGGCGCCTTGCCTGCGCAGTGGGGGAGCGATGCTACCGCCTGAGCGCCGCGTGCAAAAGGTGCGCTTTCATCTGTGCTCGTTGTGTGCTTGGTGCGATGAACTATGAGGTGACCGCGCGGGACTAGAATGCTTTCGCATTCCTGCACGTAAGCAGTCGTAAATGTCCTGTATTTTTTTTTATTGCGCGATGGGTCTAGCTGGTGATAGAAAACACAAAGCCAATCAGTGCCGTGATGTTGCACATTTTGGCGCTGCTTGATTGGCAACATCGGGTGGTAGCGTTGACTGCATTCAGACGTAGTGTGAAACGGAGTTGATTTAGCACCGCGGATGAATGTGAGAACCGGCCTCGCCAGCGAGAGAACACGCTACAGGCTCGAAGATTCTAGCACAGTCGGGAGAGCACGCACCTGATCCGCCTTGTCAATTTCCCCGAGCAGTCGAGGATCACAGTCTTTGTATATGGCGAAGATGATGAGACCAGAGAGTACGGCGAGGAGGAGCGTCAACGCCACTCCTGGGACGTTCAGAAGCAGCGCTCTGAGAAGAGGGGCGGTTCACGGAGAAAATAAATCGTCCGGCCGTCACCGACTCTTGAGGGGGGGGGGGGGGGGGGGGGGGGGGAGGTGAGGAGAGGGGGCAAATCCTACTTTGAACATTATTACCTATGTAAACTATCTTGGGGGGTTGGGTTACGTACCAAAGCAAAAGAAGGGACTGTGGCACGTGCGCACCGAGCGAAACGATTGGGGAGTGATTAAGGTAATTTGAAGTTTTTTTGTTTGTTCTTTTTGGTGAAAGCAAGATCACTTTTGAAGTCTTACCCACAATGAGCTTCGTTTTATGTTGGGCACTTTTGTCAGAATTATAACCGAACAAAGACCAAGCGTAATAAGAAAGAGCAGACGGTTTCTGCCGTTGACATTTTTGGTCCTTTTCACTGACAACTGTTTGGCCGACGTGTTTGGAACACTTTCAGAGATACTGCAAGCAACGACACATTTCAAAAGAAAAAAAAATGTCCGGACGTTCAAATTTTTAAACAACAGAAATATAAACAAGTTTTGAGCGGTAGCAATAGCTGTTAACATTTCTGTACTTAAATTAGGGCGACTAAACGACTTGCGCTTTTGGTATTAGAATAACGCAGAAAGTAAATTGTCCAGAGGCAGCGCCTCATCGTATAGAAAGGATAGAACCCTCAAACTAGGACGACATTACACTTTGCCCGAGTGCGGCCCTAGATTGGAAACGATTACGGCTTCAAAGTTCGGCTGGGGCTCGAGTCAAATAAATGTGCGGACGTAATCTTGGCATCGCGGTCGAGTCCGGTCGCTGAGTTGCCACAGGCGTAGTGGGACGACAATTTACGAAGAAAAATATATATACAAGCTTGATCACGCTGGCAGGTACGCACACAATGTACTGTGTGTGTTAATAATAATAATAATATTAATTTTATTTGCATTTCCTAGGGCGAAGAGAGAAGAGGAGTGCCCCTGAACGGGCACTGCCTACCGAAGATTCGCTCTAGTTCCTGACACACGCTGTGAGGTCGTATAGCGGAAGGAAAGGCCCCGAAGCGCTAGAGTTCATTACGCGCCGCGCTAATGAGCTCGCTTTTCTGAGGTCCGTACCACCGACCGTGGGTGTCTTGGTGGGCAAGACACTTGGCTGATTATCTGAAGGTGGCGAGTTCAAATCCTGGCTTCTTATGTGGTTCCCTATAAGGGCGCAACGCCTTTCGGTGTCGGTTGTTTGTTACGAAACTTCATAAAAATCGACTGAGGAAACACATCGTGTTGAGAAAGGCGGCAGTGAAGAGGCTTTGATTACTCTAGGCCTATCGGTAGTGTTGGAAAAATTCGCTTTGATCGTCCCATCCAGTGCTGTGCGTCGATCGAGGTTTGTGGTACCGGATTCAAACTCGAGAACGCAATACGTGCAGCGAGGGACACACGGATGGAAGCCACTTTAATAGACATAAAAATTCAAGATCTCGAGCTCCGACACTATAGATTAACACGCATGTGCGCCTGTGTGGCGCTTGTTTTTTTTTTGTTTTTTTTCCAAGAGTTTTAAGACGAACATTGTTACGGCTACAAATCTTATTTTTTCCTACGGACCAACATGGGGTTGAGCCCTTTTTCTACCGACATGAAAAAATGTTGCGGGCGTATGGAAGTTTGATTTAAGAAAGAAAAAAAAAAAAAAAAGAAAAAAACGAGTATAGGTAATACTTCTTGCAAGTTTTGTTTTGTCGAACAAACCCCCCCTTTCCCCCATAAAAACACAAAACAACGCTTTTTTATTTTTATTGTGGCTGCACCCTACAGAACCATATAGAACTGCTATGAATTTCTATTTTTAATTTTTGACCGATGTAAACTTTTGCTCCGATATTTTCATAAGTATCAAAATCATATGCTCCTCCCTGCCGTATACCTTCCCGCTAAATTAAAGTGTCAGCGCTTGCGAAACTGACTTTTAAAATTTATTTAAAGAGGGCGGAGTTTCATCTGACTCTCGCCGTGTACCCTTTGAATAAATGATTAGATGCATTCATTTTCCCGAAATGTTTTGCATTGTACCTCGATCATTCAACGTCACCTAGAAGACAAGGCCGGCCCATGACGTCATCATTAGTAGATCCCAGACTCTCCCCAAGCGGCAAAGATGCCGCAGCCTCGACGAGAGCCGCGCGTTGTGAGACGCTACACAGCGTTGGCGGCGATGCCAACACGCTGGGCGGCACTGTGCGGATCTCCTAGTTATGACGTTGTGGGTGAAAGGTCCAGCCTTGTCTTCCAGGTGGTAGAGTCGCGTCCCGTTGATATGGACCTCGTTGTTACGGATCTATATTTGGCATATACGACTGGGTAAATGCGTGCACTTCTTTTTAATGCGAAAGCATTAACTGTCCCAGGGAGCGAACCGGCGTAATCAACTTTTGAAGCCGCGCCAAACGGCACCTAAACTCCCTTGTCCCATGGAGCGAAGCCTCTAGTCTGTAGCAGCCACCCTATTGGCTGGCGCGCGGCGCGGTTCCAAGGAACTCGACCCCACAGAGAAGCCCCTCCCCTGCCGCAGCTGCCGGGCCGCCGGTAAAGGGGTGTCCAAACAGGATACTACAAAACGCACGACTCCGACAAATCATGAAAATTGAAGCGGACGCGCCCGCTTCGCGCCCGCTTCAATTTTCACGGTTTGTCGGAGTTGTGCGTTTTGTAGGTCTTGTTTGGACACCCCTTAAGAGGGAGCGGCAGGCCGCAGAGCCAGCAGAACCCACCCGGGCAGACGTCGGAGAGGGCGCACGGCCGAGCTCAGCACGGCACGCAGCATGCCTTTTGCCTCTTAATTATAGAAAACTGACATCATGGAAGCTTTTCAAAGGGGAAAATAGGGCCCATGTTAACAAGACGTCCCTGTACCGGCTCATTCAAGACCTGTCGAAGCACAGCCCGTTCTCAGACTCCGGATCAGCAACGACTCCCCGCATACCTCCTGGCGTCTCTGAGTGAGGCGATGCTTGAGTACCGCTGGACCTGCGTCTGGCTGGCGCAGTAGGCAGACATCCACCCGATGGTCCAAGAAAGAATCACGTTCCACGTCGTGTAGGTCTCGTACGCACTGAAGCTGAAACTGCAATGGACAAAAGTAAGACAGCGCTTTCTAACCTGTGGGTCGCGAAGCGGCTGGGAAACGTGTAATAAAATGCGAACTTGAGATGTCTTCGGTGGCGTCGTCGAAAACAAAGTCTAGACCACGGTGGAAGAAAAGAGAGATGTCGGAACAAGATCAGAAAGCGGTCGAAACTCCACGCGCAGGCGCCGTTCGCGCATCGCGGCCCTGAAAACGTGCGCGCGAAGCAAGTTTTGTTTACTATTGAGATTTCTTACACCAGCTGTGAGGTCACCCAAGATCTGCATTTCACTAGATCAAATGTTCTGGGGTATTTTTGGGATCAACTGTACGCTATCTATGACAGAGAGAGAGAGAGAGAGAGAAACACTTATTCGGAACAACTCCTAGTCCGAGTCATCGCTATGAGATACGGTCGTTTATCACATTGTCGAAAGTTTTTCAAGCTAATAAAGAAAGATTGATGCGAAAAAAGAAAGAAAAATATACGCAAACTGTAAGTTCCACGTCTACCCGATATATGGCGCGACTGTTCTCTCGTCGTAAGAGATTTTAATAGGTTTTATGGCACACGGTCGTAAGCAGTCAAAAGTGTGTGAAGCATCATTAAGAACGGTACCTCGATAATTTTAACCATCTTATACATGTCTGTGAAATAGATCTAAAAGAATTGATGATATGGCCCCCAAAAGCCTATTTTGTCTAGCTTGTCTAGCAATGAAGAGTTATCAACGGTATCAATGGCCTTTGACAGGTCAATGAAGAGTGCTAGGGCTATTTTAGTTTTGTCGAGTGTTTTGTGCGTGCAATCTGCGAAATCCTTTAGAATAGTAATCACTGTTTTCAGCGGCCGAAAGCCATAAAGCGCAGTGCTTAATAAGGAAATATATCACAAAATTTATTCATATTTATTTGTACTCATTTTTTTGATTATGTAAGCCATGACTGATGAAATAGAAATTGGTCTGTAGCACCACATTTCCCTGTGATTCCTCTTTTGATATAATGGCTTTACTACGGAGACTTTCAAGTACTTCGCAAAATTGCCAATGTGTAGAATGCCAATAAATATTTTTAGCAGGATTACTTTTAGTGTATCAAAGTAACCACGTGGTAGGCGCCTCTATGGGTATGTGGCCAAGTCACATGACATCACGGTGTCACATGACCAAGTAACTTGAGGCTAAAGTGTCACGTGACCACGTAACTGAACAGTCTTACGTAACATCACGGCTTTAGTGATATCATGTGACGTAATCATGGGGTTGATGTCACGCCACCACCGTTCACTAAATTTAGCGAGGAAGTATGTTATGTATTTATTAGATATATTATTACTACCTGGCCAACTCAGGGCCGTGGTAGGGGAGGCACAACATCATATTAATGAAACATTACTAGAGAAAAATGGCAACATGATTGGAGCTATTCAACAATTTTACACCCCATATACAATGCAATAAAAGCACGAACACATGTTTACACATAAATTCATGCAACACAATTAAACACAGTTTTCCTAAAAAGAAATCAGTGATTACACCAATAATCGGAATCTTTTAGGGATGCAGGGAATTCGCTACATTCAACAATGGATCGAGAAAGAAACCAATACTTGAGTGTGTCGAGTCGAACTGGATACTCTAGTAATGTACGAGCATAACAAGGATCGGTGTCCAGGTGGTTTGATAAGTTTATATACTTTGTGAAATCAACGTTCAGTTTCCCTTTAATATTTAAACATAGGGCCTCCAGTCCACGATCCCTCGCCTTTTTTATTCAGGTGGAGCAAGTGTGCCTGCCGCACTAATGCTAGGACGAACTCAGCACATTGTATATGTTGCGTAAAAACCGTATCTATTTTTAATGCACATTTTTTTAAATAATTAGCTTTGGTTTCCGTGAATTGGTCCCACACAACATCACATATTCTGAAATAGGTCGTAAGAAGTAATGGGAACCGTCAATTTTATGTCAGAAGAAGAAAACCTCAGGAGATTGTCAATGATCAAAGCTGACGGGTCGCTTTCGTTACAGCAGAGTCAATGGGGTTATCCCATATTAGTTTGATATTACAATTTAATACCAAGTACTTGTATTGTACGACCTTTTTAACTAATTGCCCACCAAAAGCGTACGAGACCGCCATGGGTAGCTTTTTACTCGTGATTAACATTAACAGTGCTCTTGAGCTATTAATATCATTTGCCGGTCCCGACATTAGGCGAGTATCTTTTCTAATTTTGTAAAAAAAGTTTTATTCGGAAAATATTTTACATAACTGTATAAAATGCAATTGCGTGAAAATCATATAATTTTGACATCTATGTTTTTAGTTATATCATGAACATAAAGTATAAATAGCAAGGGTCCTAAGACAGAGCCCGAAGTGAAGGGACATCATAAGATGAATGGCCTTTGAAATGCACATACCGTTCTTTCCCTTCTGCGTATGAAGCTAACCATTTCACTAGCTTGTGTGAGTTAAGAACTGCGTAAACTGTTAAAAGAAGCTTATTGCGGGGAACTTTATCAAATGCCTTAGATAGATTCATGAACGACACGTCTACTTGTCCTCTGTTGTTGATGACCAAAATCACGGGTTACTTGGAGCAGCTGGAACTCGTTTCCAGATCCATGCTGACAAGCTACCAAAATTATTATATTTTTTACATCGTCAAAAATTTCTACAAACTATATCCTTTAATAGTTTAAAACGCTGAGTCATCATGCAGATAGGCCTGTAATTTGCAAAATGTTTCGGGTCACTCAATTGCAAAACGGGTATCATAGCTTTTTTCATTCTTTATGAACAACACCGAAATCCATGGTGATTCTTTAAAGATTACAAGCAAGTGTTTAAATGCCCACTCAAAGTAATGCAACAAAAACATTTAGGGTTAAATCTGAACTAAACGACTTTTTGGAATCGACATTTAAAAGCAGATTAAAAGTACCTACTTCAGCTAAAATGAGATCACTGAACTTTGGAAGAGTTTTATCACGGCAAAGTTTGCTAGTTTTCCTTCATCGCGAGTGAAAACAGTTTTGAAATAATTGCTAAAAGGTATGTTTGGGATAGTTGGTTGATGAGCAATTTGATTTAAAACAGCGCGACAAGACAAGGACAAAGTAAAGACGAGACAGACGACAGCGCTGACTATCAACTGAAGGTTTATAACAACGCTCCCAGTATATATACACGTGGGCAACAGCCAAATAAACTGAGTAAGAAAGAAAATGCACAAGAATGCATGCAGTCTCAGCATCGTATCAGTTACATTATTCAGTGCTGTGTGATAAACGGTCCCTAACATGCACCAGTATGGAAACAAATTTCTTTATCGGACAGACCAACGGAGGCCGTGCTGACACATTAGTCTTTCAGTTTGCTTATTTCATAAGCTTTTATTATTTCTCAAGTTAGTTTGTCACAGCTTTTTTTCAGTATGTTGGTTGTTTGGTAGTGAGGGGTGTCATCCACAGTCGCGGCAGTGAGTTCCCAGACTACCGAAGATCTGTTTTTTTTACATGCCGCTGATGTTCCCTTAATCGGTCATTAATGCACCGCCCGATCTGTCTAAAATTATATGAAATGATAATTAAAGGTGTTGGAATTTTTGCTTCTTCAGTTACTTCGCCGTCTATTATTAATCCAGAAGCGGATTCCGGTTTGGATGGTATAGGTACCTAAACATTTGGGTGGCGAGAACTTTAAGACTCATTCTAAAGTAGAGTTATAATAACGGAGCTTTGCAACAGATAAAATTTGTTTTAGCTCCCGCGACATGTTAGTTACAGCCTTGGCCCTTTTACGAGTGCGCGAAATCCTTCTTTTCTTACGAATAATGTCACGCTCAGTCCAGGGGCTCCTGTCCTCATTAATGGTTCTGATTTTATAACAGCCGCCCGAGTCCATATTCTGCGTAGTTTTAGCTGCCTACGTAAGATCAAAGTGATTGATTTTAAGTGCGATAGCATTTCTTTCGGCAGGACCGACAAACAACAAGACGGAAAAGTACTGTAGAACTTGTAGTTGGGCTAGTTGGTGAACGTTATAAAGTATGGTGTAAGGCGCCTGTGTGTGTGTGTGTCTTTTTTCTTGTGTCTGTTGTTCTTTCTGCCTTACACCATGCTTCAAACAAACAAGTTGTTTGCGATTTCAGATGAATCATAAGATAACTGGCAAGCAAGATTTTAACCACGAAGATCTCTGAAGTGTAGTTACTCGGATGCGTAGCTTTCTTTAGTGGCTCTAAAGCTCTATTTAATCATCGTGTACAGTAATTTCTGCTGGAATGCGCTTTTTTTCGGTTCATTTTTAGTCAGCTCAATCTTTCTGCCTCTATAAACCGCTAAATAAAATGTCAGCGTGAATTTTATGCAGTGCTGTTTGGGCACTAAAATCGAAGGACTGGTACCATCGTAAAAAGCCGTTCCGTTCGCAACGACGCGATGTTTTATTTATGAAGGGTCGGAATGTATCAGTTTGAAAGCACTTACGTAAGATACATTTTAGGCGGCATATGGCAACTCTTCAGTATATCGTAAGTTGTGGGCTTTCACAATTACCCCTGGTCCTCATCGAAGTAAATACCCACTCCGTAGTCCGCTCTGTGCGCGGCTACGGCCGAGTCCGTCCATTGACTGCCTTTTTGGGGCACCGGTGGACGAGAGACAAAACAGTCCGTTTCCCACGTGTGTATTGACTCAAATGCCAACACGTTTTGTTCTTAGACATGAAAAGTGTGGGCGCTGGCTCGATTGCCAGTATCACCCTGTCGGTTTCCCGCGCTGCCACAATAGACAGATTCACGGAAAGTCGGAGGCCCACCAAAAAAAAAAAAAAAAAAAAGAAAAAACCAGCTTCGTAGAGCCAGGGCTTCCGCCGACGAGAGCCCCCGGCCCTCCTTCGTGGCCGGCTTATGTAGCCATGGAGATATGGACGCGCCCGGGGAGGGCGGTAGTAGTCGCCGTCCACTGTCACTCTTAATGCCGGC